AAAGCAGAATTTTAACTCTATATAACCAGCCCAGCACAACCAAGCTGCTTTCAGGGCTTCTGTCTAAGAAGTCTGGCAAACCTGAGCCATAAGCCAGATCTCTCTGCACAGCATTAATCTGGCTGCTTGATGTGCATCAGCTGTATGCATGCTGAGGGGAAAGATCTGCAAACCCCTTCCTCCCACCCAGTCGCAGTGTATAAATACAGCCACTCAGATCTTGTTTGTGCTGGAAGACAAGGCTCCCTGCAGACAATTTATTGCAGCCTTCTCAGGGTGGCCCCCTGCTCTGTTCACCAGGGGGAAGGTGTAATAAATTGCCTGCGGGGAAGCTTTGCTCCTTGGAGTCTCTTTAGAGATATGAGAAACTTCTGTCCAGTCGGAAGATTTACTTGTGTGAAGTCTGACCTTTGGTTGAGGAAGGGAACTAATGGGGTTCTGCTACTTAGCACACAGCTCTGAGCTAAGCCATCCATTATACACACATCTTAATAGCAGTCTGGCTCTTGAGTCCCATAACATTATTTCTGTTTTCTGCTTAACTAGGGATATATTTGTGTAAACGTGCTGTGTTTAGAGAAGGGGATAAGCTGTTTTTCCTTTGCATGCAGCCACCCGAGGGGGAAGAAAATCAACATTCTAGGAATTTGTTGTGTTGAGCCACATTTTGAACGCACTGATGCTGGAAGCATTGTCTTGTCTAATTTTGGCAAGCATTTAGACAGCATGATAGATACTATGCAAAAATGATGGATACTGTCAATGTAGGACTTGTACCTAATTTGGATCAAGGAGCAATAGCTACGTTAATGCCTACACACGGATTCTCCAACTGGGTCAAAGTCATACAGACATCATTTCCATTTTCACTGCAATTTGTGCATTTATACTCTACACCAGTGGGTGTGATTTGCTGTCACCAGTGAAGCAAGCAGAAAAGTCTGCTATGAGAAGTTCCATCACAGTGGCATTGAACACAGTGCTGGAAGGGTAGATGCAGTGAGTAAGTAAATTCCATGCCAGCTTTCACAGCCAAATCGTACCTCTGTGGGCTGCTGATAACATAGTGGAATGGCTGGAGAGGTTTCTACTCCTAAAATGGTTCAAGAGCCTGAACTGAAAGATGTCCCACAGATATGGATGGATGGTGTTGTGCAAGGAAGTCCACCCAGCAAGTTGTGTCTATTAGCCAAGATGTCACTCTTGGTAAGGATTGCAGAGCACTCAGAGCTGAACTGGAGCTCAGGAAAGTGGGGAAATTCCCTGGTGGCTGAGAAAGGAGGGGGGAGGGGAGGGGGAAGTGGGAAGAAGGCAGTACATTGCTGTGATTTGATCACTGCTCTCACCTCATGGGGCAAAAAGCTACCAATAATTCCAAGCCAAGTGGAGCTGCAACAGCCTTTTTATACAAACCTGAACTTCTCTGCCAAGCTAAGCTCCACAGGACATTTCAGGGTGAAGCAATGTGCAAAAAAATATATTGATCTGGCTGTTGCTTTTATGTTCTTGTCAGGCCTGGTCTGCACCTGAGAGGCATGAACAGGACTTGCTGTACTGACACCAGTGTCTTTTTGTGTGATGTATGATGCTGTAACCATGCATCAGGGAGGAATGTGTCTGTACTGCTACCTTGCTTCCCTTCCCTCTCTGTGTTGATACAGGAACACTCAGTTTGCAGATTCTTAGGATATACAGCCTAGAAAACAGCTGGAGCATTACGCACTCCAATGGAGAAGATGAGGCATAGGTATGGTTAAATACTCATGAGTTTTCCAGGAGTTCAGTGGACTGCTCTCTTAAAAATGTGGAGAAATGTGGATGGGCAGTAGGAAAAGGTGCAAGCAGCTTCACAGAAAAGTGAGTGTGGAGGGGAGAGAGAAGAGAATCCTACAATCATTTGGGTTGGAAAAACTCTCTAAGGTCATCAAATCCAAGCACTGACCTGACACTGCCAAGTCTACCACTAAACCACGACTCTAAGCACTGCATTACAAGTATAGAATATGCCCCATTAGGGCAGGTTGAACAACATCCACAGTTTTGTTAGCCAGAATTCTCCATCTTCCTGAAATCATGTTCACTTTCAGGGTTTGTGGCTTCCCTGCAATGAAACAGAAATCAACAGAGGACTCTCTTGTTGCACCCTGTCCAGTCTCTGGTGGTGAGCAAGGGGGACCTGAGCATGTCACAACAGGCAGCAGAAGATGGGATCAGAATTAAAATTAATGCAGGAGGGAGGTAAATTAGGCTTTTTAGTATCTCTGATTTTCAGTCTTGGCTGATTACTTAACAGGCCAACTATTTAGCATGACCATTGTCTGCTTTAAGTGTCAGCACATAAAGTATGCACCCATGACTATTAGCAAACAGGACTGGAACATAAAAGGAGCTTTACTGCCCGAGTTGCTCGGAATACTCATTTAGCATGAGACAGTGGACATAATGACATCTGCATTTAAGTTCATTATACTGATGCATGTGATTTTTCTTCTCCTGGTTAGCAAATGGCCTCATATTTTTCACATTATCCTCTGAGGTTTTAAATGACACAGTGAGGGATAATGAGCCAGACCCCAGGATGGATGAGACAGAAAGGGGGTCTTCTCCTTTAGCCACTGCTTTGTAATAATGAAATAAGAGACAGCCCATTGACAGAGCCACAGAGCAGTGATGACAGCTCTGTCCTGCATCCTAACCACAACAGAGTCAGCCAGCTGGGAAGGACATGGGAGCATCACCTGCCCATTTCAGTCACTTCTCTTGGGTCTGAGCACATTTCCCACCCAGGGCAGGAGGAAGCATGGGGTAAGGTGATAACACATCAAAACCAACATCCTTTTGCTTCATTTTGACATTTTCCATGAAATCTGGCTTTACCCTTTATTTTCATTTTTCATAGAAAAAAAAATATTTTCAACAGAAAAGAGAATAAATACTTGGGATACTCATTCTGTTTGGTTTTTTTTTCATTTTTAGTTTGGCAGTGTAACACTGTTATCAGTCAAGGTCACTGAGTCATTCTGACCATGGTAAAATATTGTTAACATTTGGCAGATTCTGCTTGGAAATAAACATGTTGGTTTGTGATCTTTCATGCTGCAACTCTACATTTGCAGAGTCAGAGCCTGGTCCAATCCACACGACAGGTGACCAAGTTCTTATAGAGGGGATGTGTCTAGAGCTGAGCATTAGGGAAATGCCAAATACTTTTTATTCAATAGTTTCTTTTGCTGTGTAGAAACTGGGAGTGCTGGTCAATTCAGCTCTGCTGCTAAAGCAAGTGAGCATCAAACTCATCTTGCTGTTTAATGACTCATGACTACTTGCAAAGGACACATGAATATAAGCCTGAAGGAACTATGTAGAATCACAGAGCTAATTTCTCTGAGACTGTGCCATGTACTTCAGAGGGGCCAGGAGAATTCCCTTCTGCCACTGATGCTCACTGACCACATAAAGACATCACCAGCTCAGGAGGATGCTTCCCTGACAACCTGAGGCCTTCTATGTCCACTGCAGGAACAAAGTACTAGCTGTGATGCTCCTGTTCCACCAAAGCTTAATTTGTCCTTGTGCAGATACATCGCTGATAGGGGATTCTTAGCTCCTGAAGAGTCAGTATGGTCAGTCAAATTTTGGGCATTTCTCTCTGCTGCAAGCCAAAGGTGGGCAAGTGTGCGGCACAAGGAAGAACCTGCAGCAATGCCAATTTCCTGTTACCCAAGGATCAAGAGTTTCCACTGTTGCTTCTCACCAGCACCACTGCATAAATGTCTGTACTTGACTGATTGAGATGGAAATTGCCATTCATCACAGCATAAGGGAGCTTAAGCTGTCTCAGAGCAAGTTGTCAGTTAACCAGCACTTAATATATAATTAATATAGTACAAGGCATGTCCTTGCAGCTGAAAGATTTAAATGTCTCAGATGCAATAGCTTCCAAAATCTTGTAAGATTCCTTCTGCAGAGCTCACTACCTTCCTGCTGTTGAGAGGGAGCAGTCAAGATAGGCACTTTGTGTTCATTAACCAGCACAATATTCACTGGTTCATTTAATTAATGCTTAGAAAATATATTTGATGAATTGTAAGTGACTGGGACCACAGAGGGGAGATTATGGGTAGCAGAGAAATAGATTAACATTGGCTGAGCTTCCTTCTTTACCTTTGAAACCTTTTAAAAAATGATTTCTCTGGTTTTTATATTCACATAATCTTGTGGAGCTTTCTCCCTTCACACACACACCTAATTTCTCATCGCAACTGTTGCTGGCTATCAGAGAACTTCTCATAGGAGCTGTCTGAGGCAGTGCTGTTTGTTGGTTGTATTGCAGGAGATGTTAGTAGCAGAGCTAAGGTGTCAGACACACTGCACTGCCTGCATCTCTGCCCAGCCCATCAGTTCCTGGATATTTCAGCTTCACAACATGTGGAGGAATGTTGCTCTCTTGGGAGTCCTCAACAGAAAGCTAATAGTTACCTCTTAAAACTGATGATCTTGAAATATGCAATAAGAATGGGCTTATAATCTTAATAGGCAAAACAGACACAGGGGGTCAGACAAGGGAGGAGTATTTCCTAAACAAAGCCCAGCAGCCCCAATCAGCTACATGATTTGCTGAAGGTCATAAAGTAAACCTGTGTCACAGTCAGGAATTTAACACAGATTTCTTGATTAATTCATTCCTAGATTCTTCTTCCTGCCTCCTTAGGTACTGACATGGGCCATTTTAATGTGCAGTTTCCCAAACCATGTTTGGAAAATGTAGTAACAGGAGGAGGTTGGAGAGAGAGTTACAATTAGTGCAAAAAAACATTTCCCTCCTCTTCCTGTTGCTTCAGTGCCGGCTGTAAATTTAAGACAGTCTACTCCAGTTCAGGATTTCTCAGCCTGCCACACAGCAAATCTCATAAGACTTCTCTCTACAAATTTCTTTTTGTTCTTTTTTTTTTTTTTTTTCTTTTAAGTATCGCCAATTTCTTTGGTGCACATGCTTTATATTTGTCTGGGTGCATGTGTGAGAGCCAGTAGCTCCCCAGCACACCCTCCACTCCAGAGATCACTTGAGAATTGGGTTTCCTTTGTGAAGTATCGTGTGCAGGCTCTGTGCTCTAAGAGACTTGATTTCGTACAGAAAATGTGTGTCTGTGGAAAGCCCTGGGAAAGATCCTTGCAGCCCATTGCAGAAATGCAATATTGCCCTCTAGTGATGAGGAGGATGGTCTCATTCCATCTGCTGATGAAACAAAAAACGTTCCCGATAACCTTCACTGGGTTTGAAAATGGAATAAACATTCCTGCTTTCTTCTGCCCCTCAATTCAAAGATTCTAGAATCATAACCTGGAGAGCACTGGTAGTGCTGATAAGCAGAGGAAGTTCTTTAAGAAGAAGTGTAAAATTGCCATTTTTCTCCCTGAATTCAGCAGATGGAAAGCCAGCTGCACTCAAGAAAGCAGATCTAGCAAGAAGGCGGCTTTTTAATGCAGCATCCTTGTTGCATTTCAGAAGCCAAGTGTATTTTTATTTGCCAAGAACAAAAAAAGGTTTCAAGGACAGGAGGTGAAACGCAGTGAAAACTAGAGGAAAAAAGGTGTTTTTTTTAAATTTCATCCTTAACGATCGTACATTCAGATGTCTTTTTTTTCTTTTTTTTTTTCTTTTTTTTTTTTAATTCTCATTTGAACTTTTCTAGGGGGTGAAGAGGAAAGGTAATAGCAGGAACACTTCAGCAGAGGAGCTCAAAATGTTTCACTCCAATAAGTAGTTGGTCAGGAAATAAACTGTTTTGAAGGGTCTTCAGAAGACACCTAGGAGCACTGCAAAGCTCTGAACTTCACCCATAAGAAGGTCACATTTAAAGCCCCCTGTTCTGCAAATAACTCAACATGGACAATCCTTTTAGTGTTTGTGTGAAGCCCCAGGAGTTTCAGCAGCTCACAGCTCCCTTGCTAGACACTTGAGTCTTGGAGTAAGCAGAATAGATTTCTCTGTAACTGGACCCTGTGTCTCTACCCAGTTTTCTAAGGTATCTCACTGTTTTTTTAAGTTCCTAATGCAGACAGCATTTCCCCAGCACTTTCCCTATCCTAATTGCTTCTGACAACGCACGATAGTACTGGAATTTATGTAAGGAACATTGCTGCCAATGTACTGCAACTTAAAGATCGCCCTGAAATGAAGTGTGCAGATAAATGTATTTCTTACTAAAAATAAAAACTAAATGCAAAATTCACCGTGATCACACACTGAACAGGCTTTCTCTGTTGCTAACGGAATCCTTAAAATACACAACATACTCATGCAAAATGGTCAGTTATTAACTTTGATGATATCTGGCACTTACTTTTATCTTGTCATTTTTACCCCAAGGGTCACAACGCAGATTTGTGACAAGGGCTGAACTTTAGTTGAGATGGTGGCAAAACTCTCAGAAATTTCACTGCCTAAGGATCAAAGTTTCAAAGCAAGCAAGACATGAAACACTGAACAGTTTAATACACGTGATGAACTTTCTATATAACTGCAAATATTTGAGGTAATCAGCTAATGCAGTGGTGGGTTTTTTTGGACACAGAGTTTGGAGCGGGCAGCTTTTTACTGAGTTCTGAGAAGTCATCTCAGCCATTGCTTAAAAAGAAATGCATTACAGCCATCCCCAGCATTGATACCCGTGGTACTGGTAGGTAGTGCAAGGTCCTTAGCTATTGCTGGTTAATTACTCTGCAGCCATAGCTGCTGCCTGATAAACACAAAAATATAGGAAGAAGGAATTTTAAAATTTGTCTTACGCAGAGCTGAAGTCAACAAGAGGGAACCCAGAAGTAGATTTCTGGCAGTGAAAATTTTATGAGATGTACATTGGTGGCACAGAAATAGATTAGGAAAAGGAATGAAGATAAAATGCCAGAACGTGACACAAAATGAAGTTTACAAAATAAACAGATAAGGGACTGTTTAAAGCATAAAGACAACGCAAAGGGCTTTTTAGAAGCAAGATAATCCTCTTGATGATCCAGTTGTTTTGATGGGCTGAGGTGGTGCTGAGTCATCACGTAGAGCACAAGCTCTTTCATCACTCCACCTGCATCATAAACAAAGAAACTTCATTCTCAGTATACTCATCATGATTCCACTAACCACTTTTTTTTCAAGTAATGGATGTATTTTCAAGTTCTACCCCGGTTTTCCCACGCATCTCACCTCTTTTGCTTTTCTTTTCAGGTTCTACATTGAAAGCATCTCCTATCTAAAGGACAACGCCACCATAGAGCTGTTTTTCTTGAATGCCAAGTCCTGCATCTACAAGGTAAGGAGCTCTGGGGGTGGACTGAGACGTGGTTCTGCAGCCCCTGACCCAATCTGCATTGGCTGCAGAACTGAATACCTATAGCATGACTACAGAAGCAAGCTGTACGAGCTTGTAACGAGCAGCAGCCGAGGTCAGCCCTCAGGGCGGCGGAGCGGCGTCCTCAGCGTTTCCCGCCCGAAGAGGGCGGCAGCGGCCGCGCGGGAAGCGAACGGGCGCCATCTTCTGGGGTGGGGGAGTGTGTGTGACAGAGTACGTAAGCGGGGGTGTTCGTGTGATTTGTGTACGTGTGTATGGAAACTGTGAGGCTGTGTGTCTGTATGAGCGTGTGCGAGGGTCGGGGTGTGTGATGGCGTGTGGCTGTATGCGTGTGCGTGATGTTAATTTTGTGGGATTTTGTGAGAGAGGGGTTCGTTCCCTGCACAGCCTCCTGCAGCCTCTCAACAGTGTGTTAGCGACTGCTCTGACAGCAGGTTTATACCAAATCTTGGGCCTCGCTCACATCTCCTAAAATCCACGATTAACTCTGCATGTCCAAAAATGCAGGGTTAGATAGGAGAAGCTGGCAAATGTCCTTTTTTTTTTTTTTTTTTTTTCCAGCGTCCAGAGAGAGGGCAGGGCAGAGCTCTGCTCTCTGACAGAGCTGCAATTAGACGTGCTTAGTCAGCCCTCTCCAGCACTGAGCTCAGAGCATCGCATTTTAGTTACAGGGGAAAAGTTCTTTTTTGGAGTGTTGCCAGGAAAAGCTTATGCTGTTGTTCTTTTTTTTTTTTTTTTTCCGGACAAAGCTTAAAAAGGAGGGGAAAAAAGTGCCTACAGATCTAGGTTGATCTATTTTAGTCTGACCTCTCCTAAAACTATTACTTTGCACATTCGAACTGACTGTCAGCTCCATCCATAAATAGCTCTGCTGGATTCCCAGTCACCCCGAGTCCTTCTTCATCTGATTCCAGCCACAGTAAGCCATGTCATGCTATTAAAAAGGATGCTGAATTTGAAAGCTGGATACAAGGTCTCTGTTCAGACACAAAGTGAGCACCCAGCCATCATTTTTGGATGGAAGGATCTCTAGGTGCAAAGAGCGGCATTCAGTGCCTGTCATCCCTGCAACTAGAAGTTCGTGCAAGTTCCCAAACCTTGAAAGTTTCCTTGCACAAAAAAAGTTTTCTCACAAATGACTTCATCCCAGGTTCCCCACAGCCAGGAAAGGCCATGCTATGTATGATTTAGTTCATAACACCATTTGTACCAAGCTGTGTGGTGCAGTCGTGGCACCTGGGGGACAGGATGCCATCCAAAGAGACATACACAGGCTCAAGCAGCAGCCCCAGGAGAAACTCACATGGCCCAACAAATACAAGTGCAAAGTGCTGCGCCTAGGTTGTGGCAACCCTACTAGCAATACAAATACAACAGTTTGTTGTCAGCAACCTCCTTCAGCATGAGGCTGCTGGTCTCGTGGGCTGCCATCTGGCTCTATGTTGGTTACTGCACCACTCCTATGAGACCAGCAATTGACCCCCACACCCCAATTTTTGCACAGCGCCATCCCAGCCAGCCGTTGCCCAGAAAAGTCAAGAGACATTTGTACTACCAGTCAGACAGGGCTTGGTGTTGGGTACTGTCCATCAGTCTGTTTCATTAGTAACACACTCTGGTACAGGTTTTGGCCTGTGCCAACTAGCCCTGTCTCAGGCATTGCTGGAGGCCTGTTCAAGGATGAGCACCTGTTTCTGAAAGGTAGTATAGTTGTGGTAACTGTTTGGGGCTGGGAGAGGGAGAAAGAGTGTTTAGTCATGAGTTTTTCTGTGCTGCATCCCCTTAGGGTCTGAGAATGGCTTCTGGCCCACTCTACCCACTAATGTGGACTTGTCGTGACATCGACATGGGCTTGTAGAGGCTGGCTCATGTGTGCAATGCCCAGTTCACCACAGGGAGAAAGGCAGTCAGGCTCTCTGCATCACCCCTTGCTATGGGACACTCCTGACTGCCCCAGCCTGCAGCTGCATGGATATCTTCCATCAGGCACTTCCCTTGGCACAAGTACCTCGTTAGTGCAGGTGCCTGTGTGAGTCACAGTTTAGCTGAACTGAGGGAGGTGTATTTATTGCCCTTAGCAGAGCTGGTCTTCACTCCCCAGGGAGTTGTTATGAAGGAGGTGAGGGAAATGCTTATTTTAAAAAGCTGGCACTGGTGAAAGTCAAGGGCACCTGGATCTTAATCTCTGTTTTGTTCCCTTTGTTTTTGATTTTGCCAGAGACGAGCCAAAGCAATTGTGGCTTGTAAATGAGGTGTGGCCCTGATTTGGCTGGAGTATGGATCACAGCAGCAATCTATATTTAGATATCTCATTTCTTGCCAGATTAAATAAAATATTATAAACAGCAGTTTAAATAAATATAACAGAAGAGCCACAGGAGTCAGCTAAGCACATATGTGTATGTGGCCACGTGGGAGATCTAGTTGCATAACTGAGGCCTAAACTGTATCAGCAAAAGCCCACTGCCTTCCCAAACGCCAAAATTGGTTGGGACTCAAGCATGCTTGGCCATAAGGCTTCTGCCTCCCTTCCCAAGCATTCCTGATGCTGTGTCTGCGTCCCACACGTTCAGTGTGGAGCGGTGCACACACCCCATAGCCTGTGACCACTATTTCAGATGCAGCAGAAGAACGCTGAGAGGATTGGATGCAACCAGCAGTGCCCTTGTAACTGCAGCATCCAAGCAAGATGCTCACAGTTTCACCCAACCCTCACAAATTACTTTTGTCAGGGTCCAGATTCTATAGATAAGAGCAGTGAAAATCTACCGAAAGATTTGCTTTCACAGTTTATTCTTAAAGTATTCCCACCCCCATGCTCAGGGACACGAAGGGGCTGAAACCAGAGCTCCCATCCTGTTAGAGGCAATATGGCTCTTTTTCCTGTGAGTTTACCCTGGACAAGGGCCAGAGGGATTCTGCAAGGGCTTTGATACCACTTCAGTGAAGACAAATTTTCTCATTTCCATGCTTCTGTGAGCCAAGGACAAAACTGTGTTCTCCTGAAGCATGGATAGAACTGGGGAGAGAAAAATCTTTATTTCCCAGACTATCTTTTACTAAATCATGCTTGAAAGTAAAGATGACCCTGATCCTCCCCATTCCATCTGCCTTCTCCTCCTTCCTCCCAAGGAACCCCTTATGCCACACTGAGTTATGCTTCATTTGCCAGGTCTTCATGCTGAATATTTGGCTTTCTCCACATCAGAGTGAGCAGGTTCAGACTCACTTTGGTTTCCAGGAGCACAGGGATTGCTTTGAAGCCTGGCCAGGCCAGAAAACTGGCACCACATGCTTCACTCTGCAGTAGACAGGAGGAGATGCATTTTCTTCTTGCAGGATCTCAAAGTTACTGAATTCTTTTTGTTTTTTTCACCATTCTAGGAACTCATTGAGGTTGACAGTGAAGTGGTGTTTGAACTAGCTGCATATATCTTGCAGGTAAGCACCAGCCTCTTCTTGCTTCATGCACCTTTGTATTGAATCTTTTGACTGGCTAAATCAAAAAGGGCTGTACAGAAGTGCAGGGATTCCCTAAATTACAAGACTCTGAGAGTCCCTGTGGACCAAAGGAAAGAGTCTTCATTTGTGCCTGAGGTACACATAATCTTCAGCTTCTTTTCAGGTTTGCACTGAAAATGATCTCTAACTTTTCAGCAGATAAGTTGTCTTTACACAGCTTTCATCATTTATACCAAAGCAAAAAGTGCAGAAGGCTCTTACACCAGAGCTCTCCACATGTGAAGCAGGAGCCACTGCACAACATTTTGCTTACATAAATGTATATCATATTAGCTCTAACACAGATATCCAAAGCCTTGGAGTATGATGTAAAGCCAGAAAGAATTCTAAGCTATAAATGAGATTTCCTGGATGAACTATGTATCCAGTGAGTTCCTCTCCGATGACTTCAGTTGCATTTGTTTTACCAGTGTTGCTTGCCCTTCTGATGATCTCCATAACCTTCTATATATGCAACTGTCTGTATTTTCCAATGTGGGCAGAAGGGCATAAAGCCTTTCCAAAACCACTTCTTAGAAATAAAAATTGTCTTGGCATTTCCCTCATCAGCAAGAGGGAAAGGGTCAGAGTTCGAATTACCAGCAGGGTTTGGTATATGTCTTGTTCCCAAAGAGGAACCTTTTCAGGGCAGCAGAGGCGGCTGGTTTGAAAGATTGCTCTTTATGAGCATAACTATGGGACCAGATCAGAGATAGCTGTCAAATGATTCTTGTTCCCCTTTCTTACAGTGTAGATTCTGTTTTATTTTCCCATCAAGCATGAAGCTGTGAGGATCCATGTGAGCAGACAAGGCATCTCATCAGACTGCACAAATAAATAACAACACATTGCGCTTTTACAGCACTTTTCATGTTAAGGAAGCAATTAATGTGTAGGGATTTGAATCTTCATTAAGAACATTTTGTGTAACAAAAATGGAGAGAGAGTCAGGATGGGGGACTCAATTAAAAGCACATTAAAGAAATTGCTTATTGGTTGTTGGGGGAATACACATCAAACAAGAGGGTTATTGTGTGAAGTAGCAGTAGGGTTATGAATCTATTGTTTGCTCATCCTAATGAATAACTTCAGCACTTTGTAACTGTACACCCATATCCAGATCTGCCACTGTAACCCTCAGTGCTGTGATTGTTTCTCATCACAAACACAGGATATTGCGTGTATTCCTGTAGTAGTTCGATGTGTAACTTCATGAAAACAGTCAAAACAAGCCACACCTCTGCTGTCTGTAACCAGAAATTACTACAGTCCATGTTTGTGACAGGATCCGTGCAAAACAAGAGGGATCACACAGCATTGTTTTATTCCTTGTTGCAGCGTAGAGGTCAAAGAACTGAAGTATGGAGAATCAACCCTACAAAACTGTTTTCTGAATTCAGTACACTCATCCTTCTTCAGGCCAGGGCTTACCCTTTGGGGTTTTG